CTGCTAAGTAATTTTTTGCCACAACTATGTGCACTTAGCCAGATTCAATGATTAACTTTATCTTTATATGTTCTTTTTACTTTAAAAAAGCCACAATTAAAAAAAACATGTATCTATAATTAGACAGTCTCACCACCCCTCGTTTTTTGCTTTTAATTTTTTAAATGTGAAACATAAATGATAAATATCCAGCTAAACAGAAACGGAAAAATTTTCAAACAACTTTCCACGTTCTTGCACGACTGCCTCACAATGGGCCTGCCTCTAGGGAGATATATCCAAAACAATGTGCCATGGGAATGAGTCAGACAAAGACTTTCTAGCCTAGTTTATTGTAACAGGGCTTTTGTGGATGTTACTTAACTGTGTTTGTTTTGATGGTTATTTTAAACACATCACAAATGGCTAAGGAGACAATTAAACTTTAAAACGTCCATAAATAAATAAATATTTTTATATACGTTTTATTGAAAATTAAAATTTTTGTGTTGCATTGAATTCAGGATGTTATATGAATGTAGTTAAAAAAATATAAAACGTTTGTAACAACTACCTAAGGAANATTTACCCCACTGTGCACAGTATGCAAGAAGCTGCAAAATTGTAACAGGAAATACAATTATTTCTAGAGCGTGTATATACTTATATTAAATATATCGTCCATAAATAAATAAATATTTTTATATACGTTTTATTGAAAATTAAAATTTTTGTGTTGCATTGAATTCAGGATGTTATATGAATGTAGTTAAAAAAATATAAAACGTTTGTAACAACTACCTAAGGAATAAATAATACATTTATTATTATTAATGCAATGTAATTAACTGCCTTTTCTTTTTCAAGGCAACTTTTAAAACGGTATCTGCATTTCAGTAAAAATATATGCGCATATGCAATAAAGGTAAGAGGGACAAATTCCATCAACATGGTAATAGTATTTGTATTTGTAAACTGCTAATTACGGTACCATTTTATCTAAAAATAACCAATATCTAATAATTTAATAATTTTTATTACACATTCTTTCATCATTAACCATGAAAGTTTATTGTCTATGAAATTTTATAGTCCTTCAGTCGTTAAATTTGAATTTATACCATTATCCATTACGACCCTATTTCCATAAAAAACTTCTTGCATAAAGTGTATGTACAAGTATTTGTTTCCCTTATAATTTGTCCATGTTCATTTTGATATAGTTATTTCAATCTATATACTACTTCTTGGAATCCAGTACCATCTTTTGAAACATCACCCTCTGGTCTAATTTTTAAAGAAATAGCAAATGGCAATTGCTTCAAAATAGCTCTGATCTAATTTTTTAACTGTGTTACCTAACAAGTGTTAGATAAAACAATTTCGTCATTCGTTAGTAAATTTGGGAAAATTTCTTGACATTCTTTAATTCAAACCGAAGGCCGTATCAATTTTATCTTTTGTTCTATTTAGAAATTTTATTTAAAAAAGTGTGTTGAAAGTATTAATCAAGTTACTCAATTAACCTATACATCGAATAGAAGAAAGAACGAAATTACAAATTTCAATTTTAAACTAAGTACAGAAAATAGATCTAAAATAACAAAATTATGTATGGGTTGAAAAGAAACTTTCGCTCTAGTAATATATTTTTATACACCAATATTGTTTTGGTCTAAGAAACTGATTACCTGAGTATAGTGAGGCTCGCCTAAGCTGTATTATAATGTAACACATCTATAGGGATAATAGACCTTTGTCAGTAACAATGGGAACCCAAGTTATTCAAAGGCAATAAATCGTCCGCTGAACTAATATTAGCTTTCTTCGAAGAACGATTGGCAACTATCAGAAGCCATCAGAAGCATGCATTTATGCGAAATAACGTTCGATGAACAGCAAATCACCAACGGTGACAACAAATTTGGTATTCGTAGAAAACAGACTAGTTTCTAATCAGTTGGAAGTGATCAGAATAAGCCAACGATTCAAGAAATGTTTGGTTTGGTACATGACCATAAGTTTTGTACAAAAGAATTTAGGTTTATATACTTTGTTAAACGCGGTATTTCATAAAGATTAGTAGACAATTGTATTAATTACAGAACTCCACAAAAAATGTCTTGTGCAAATGACCAGACTGCGCAGAAGAATTATTCAACCAGCATAAAACCTAACACAACGAAACATAAACAAACAGAAAGCGTATAACACAAACTCTAAACCTATAACATAATCGTAGGTACCGCTCGTATCGTCCTTTGGACGACCCTATATGAATGTTGAGGTGTTCATTAGCAATCTGATATCAGAGTCTCGTTAGCAGATCAGCATAATTTTCGATATCTAAGAAGTTTAAAGTAGCTATTAATTTAGAAATCAAACATCTTTTTATAATTGAAAGTATTGACAAAGCTCCTTTTGATGTTAGATTATTATGCTGAAATAATAAAAAATAGAAGATATAATACAAAAATACAATTGACTTTTTTATAATAATAATTTAGGAATGCGTTCATGGAAGATTTCATTTCGATTTGAAATCAGTTAAGTTCAAAATTGATAAATGTCAGTTTTCCATTGTAACTTATTTTAAAAATAAGAAAGAGTCCAAAAAGGATTGTGAGGAAATTGGACCCTTTCTTATTTCAAAATAAGTTGAAATCAGTTATGTACAAGACATACGCGATTTGGTACCAAACAATACCATTGCAAATCGTTCTTCGAACAAAGCTATTTTTTATTATAACACGTGTGTTGATGAAACTGTTGGTAGACCGTATTTATTTCTTAACCTTACACTACATGTGTTGAAGACACCTCATATGTCACAAAACATTGTTTCCCACAAAGTTACGCCACATGTCGCCGAAATTTCTTTGATAAGCAGCGAGTTGTTAGACTAATTGCTGGAATGTAGGTGAACAACACTGTTGCATGCCACTAAAGGCTTATCCCCAATCAGATAACATGTTCCTGAAATATATATATATATATGATTTGATAATTTTCTATAAAAAGCATCCTCATATATCACAAACCAACGTTATCAACAAAATTGCTCCACATATCGCAGAAATTTCGATGAAAAGCAACAATTAGGTCCATTTTACTATTTCCACAAGTCATTTGTTACTGGTTGGTGAGTGGTAAAGCAACATGTAAAGGCGGGTATAAATGCAGAGAGATTCCCGCCATTGAGTAAGAACTCACTCAACGCTCGCACAGATCTACATATAATACAATATGTCGCGTTTTGGCACGGCATGGGTTCTTGGAGGAACTTTTGTTTGCAGCAAGACTAACGACGCGATAGTTATTGTATCAATTATTTTATGAATATTAAGTGGTTCTAAGAATACAAATATACAAATTATTTAATACAATGGACAAAAATTATATTAAAAAAAAAGCTAACGACAGTAATAAAGCATCACTTTATAAAACTACTAAAGCTTCCTTTTCTTCTTCGTCGTCAAATATGGCAGGTTTATTTTCTTTTCGTTCACCAAATTTTATTCATATTTATACTTAGACTTAGGACATCTGGGCACTAATTTACGCAATTTGTTTCAAATCTCACATGTGAAAAAGGTATGACAAAGCGGCGACAAATAATTTGTGGGAAATAACAAATAACTTGTTGCTTTGCATAAAAATGTCGGTGCATGTGGTTTCACTTTGTAGATAACAGAATGTTGCGTCATATAAGAACGTATTTTAAGGTTCGCATTCTGCGCAAATTGGTTGAAAAATCTACAAACCATGTGATTTTTCTACGGTGATAAGAATATAAGAAAACTAATTAGAGTAATGAAAAAACTGTGAAAATCTGCTATTCACAAATTGAATACAATAAAATACTACCGAAATTTCGTCATTTTTTGATTTCCAATCATTTTATGCAAGAAAGAATTAAAAAATATATGATGCAGTTTACTGAAGATTAATGATAATAAACCAAGTTTCTGCAATAACTATATAGAGTAGTAGAAATTGTATCTTATAAAATCAATGGTACAAATATAAAATAATTTATATGGCATTTTCGTGCGATTAAATCAAATGATTAGTCGCTAATGTAGTGGTTTTATACAGTCGCACAATGAGACAAATCCACATATTAAGCTACAAAAATCTATATCATCGTCAATTTTCAATCAAAATCACTGAAACTTGGTGGGTTTTTGGTCGTTGAATCTGAATCCACTACCAAAAAGTAAAAATTAGATATAGCAAATATGCTATGACTACCTACCAAAGGTGGTGCTGAAATGATTTCGGACTACATTATATCCTCTAAAAATTAAAAATCCACTAGCATTGTACAATAACTTGTGTATCATTTCGGTAGCACTTTTGGTAGTCACATACACAAAAAACCTTCAGGATACATAGTTTCAGTGATTTTGATTGAAAATTGACGTTGATACAGATTTTTGTCACCTAACACGTCGATTTACCCCACTGTGCACAGTATGCAAGAAGCTGCAAAATTGTAATAGGAAATACAATTATTTCTAGAGCGTGTATATACTTATATTAAATATATAAAAAATTTTACATTCAATATTGCTTCTACGAATGCGCTTGCATTAAAAATACCAGCCTAATAGTAAACTATCCTGCAATTACCACCAAGTAACAAATGGTTTAGGCTAGATATACTACTAAATTAGTCCTTATCAGAAACTTGCCATGGGCCTTATTATTATCTTAAGCATTTACTTTGCATATTTTGCCCCAATCTGTGATTTTAATTTGAAAAATAGAAAATATATGGTTGGTTAAATGATTAAGAGACCAGTTTCTTAAGTTGAACTTATTCAATAGCTCAACACTGTACAGTTCCAACCATATTTGTTGAGACAGATTTCATGAAATGAAGTGGTTCAATATTTCCCCATTTATAACATAAATATTTTTTATGAAATTGTAACAATACCTATATTTTTTTATTTTTACTACATATTAGCAACTTCAGCTGATATTTATCTAAAATACTTTTTTCTTTGTTTCAGTCTCTTCTTTCCAGCAACTATGGAAAGGAGTCAGTACATGCGATTAAGAGGGGCCTTCTCTGGCAACAGCGCGACAAACTTTTCAGTCGTTGGAAGGAACGGTATTTTATCCTCACTCGGGACTACTTGCATTGCTTCCGAAGAGCATCAGGATCTGATCGGATATCGGAAATGGGCCAATTCCTGTTTAAAGTTAAACTGATCGATGTGGAGCGGGTTGAGTGGGAGAATAAGAAAACCTATAGCACAGGTAAATATTACATGGGATTATCCTTTTTTTGCTCAAGTCCAGTCAGACTCAATTGAAAATAACGTCTTATCTCTTACGTTTAATGGTTTTTGTCACATTTTACGGATTGCTGTAGGAAAAGTTCAAATGTGTTCTTCGCGTAGAAAACTCATTGTCAGTCAAAAATAAAGAAATGTTCTTCTAATTGTAAATTAGAGTTAACGCAAATAAAAACGTCTAAAAGTTTACTGGAACTTAAAAAATGGATTTGGGTTTTTTTGAAACTATATACAGGGTGAGTCGTGAGAATCGCCCTAAACTCCAGGAATGGATTCTACACGTCAAAATAATAAAAAAGCTCAAATGTCGTGTGATTTTTATTTGTTCTATAGTTATAATGTAATTACAAATTTAAAAAATTTTAAATCGTAGTATGTCATGTATGTTCAAGTTTAAAACTAGGATATTTGTCAGTGTAATTTTATATTGCAATAGTTTAACATTTGATTACAGATTTTACGGTCAAAGTGTTACAAAATGACAGGAACTTATTCAAATTTAGAGTATGCAAATATGGTGTTTGTTTATGGTATTTGTAATGGAGATGCTAATATGCTGCTATTGATGAATATCGTCAACGATTTTCACATCACAGATGTCCTGATAAAAATGTATTTATCAGAGTTCTCAACAAACTGTGCGAAACCGGAAAGTATAACATCTGAACCAGCTCATCGACACGGTTTAGAAGAAGTAGAAAATATTCTGGGTCTAGTAGAATATGCGGCAAGTACCAGCTCATGAAGAATTGCTACTCAATTGGGCATTCTACAAAAAAGAGTAATAAAAACCCTCCACGAACAAGGCTTATATCCATACCAGGTACAAAGAGTACAACACCTACAACCGGGAGATTATCGAATTTTGTCAACGGATCAATAATAATCATCTTGTTGTATCCTGCATACTTTTTACGGATGAAACAACATTCATCCGTGACGGCATAACTAATATTCGGAATTCTTATGTATGGTCAGACGAAAATCCTCACACAACATTTGAAAGTAATTTTCAGCATAGGTTTTGGTAAAGGTGTCGTGTGGTATGATCGATAGCTATTTAATTGGCCCTTTGATTTTGGGGAATCGACTCACGGGAGACCACTACTTAATTTTTTACAAAATGTAATACTAGAGGATGTTCTGATAAACATAAAAGATGACCAGCATGATGGAGCTCCTGCACATTTCACTCGTCCAGTCAAGCTACATTTGAACGACAGCATTCCAGGACGTTGGATTGGTCGCGGTGGTCATATTAGTTGGCTTCCCAGATCTCCAGACCTCACAGCACTAGATTACTGTTCATTGAGTTGGTTCAAAAATGAGGTGTACACAGTTTAGTCCAATCAGTTGGCGCTCAAGAAGTGGGTTGCCTGTGAAGTTTTAGGGGAGATTTGAAAATTGGTATATTTATAGATTTTGACGTGCTCTTTCCGAATTTTTACTTTGCCACCTCTTTTTTTTCCGGAAGTAGCCGCCATATTGGAAAAATGGCGCTCCAAAACAAATTTTCGACGATATTTCCTTTCCGACTCACTTTACGGTGAAAATAATTATGTAATAAATTAAACTAGAGAACATTTCCTATAATTTATGTATTAACCTTTTTTCTGTGAAATGAATAGTTTCGGCGTACGAGCGCCGCAAAGTCTACTCCAACAGGCGTACTGGCCAACAAACTTCTTTCCACACCACCATGAGGTAGAGTTCTTGGCGCGTTTTTTTAGTGGTACGTATCCCCAGTAGACCTAAGCCACATGTGATGCACTGTTGACTAAATTTAGTGCATTCTCCTTCGCTTCGCTATCCCTGACGGACCAGGTTTTGCGAGTTCTTCGTCTTCGGAACTGAGCAAAACCTCACGGACAGGAAGTTCTTCCAAGTTATCCGCGATAGGATTCTCTTCTTCGACTTCATCACCTTCTTCCTCGATTTCGTCGAAGGTTTGCTGAAGAATTGTCTCCGTATCTTCCTCTTCATCACTGTCTTGCAGATCAACATCCGAATTGTCGCAGGTACCTACCATTGCGATTCGCGCAGATAGCGGAGCTTTAGTCCAGCCTTTCTGCATCCACAGGCTCCCCGACATCCTTTTTTACATTTACAAGAAATTAGTTTTAGCAAGTTTGCTGAAGCTGGGGACTTAAGTGTGGTGATAGGAATTAGCCCATTCTTGCTTTTTTCCATCTTCACCGCTCTGCATTTTTTCCAACTCCATACCACTGCTGAACCTGGTGATAGGTTGTCGTGCTGCTGCTTCTGTCGGTGGCAGCGATGCAATATTAAATTTATGTCACCACACTCGAGCCACCAGCTCCAGCAATTATCTCAAAATGGCCGAGATATGACAGATTGTTTCTGAAATAACCGAATCAATCACTTTTAACTTAAGAAATGATTTTATATTATAGATAAGATCATTAAGCAGATGTTTACAGTTTTATACATAACTCCATAACTCCACTAAACAAAATCTACAAAAAAAATAATAATAATAATAATAATAATAATAATAAATATCTGTGAGTATCATTAAATTTTAAAACATCAATGGATAAGATATGATAATATTCTTATAGGTATATCATTTCACAATAAAGATAAAAAATCAGGTATCGTGGAATTTTTAGTAAATTGCAATATAGCTAAGTACATATGTGTTAATCACAATATTTAGCAATGTTGCATATAGCCATATTCTAGACTTGGTAATATAAATCCTTTGCAATTGAAAGCGAAATGGTGCAAAAATAAAATAAAAAATATACGATTATTTTTTAATATCTTTAACAATTTTCCCCTCTATTTATTTTAGTATTTTCTTTAAAAAATACCAAAAGGATTATTCTATGATTATTTACAAAACTGCGTTAATTTTGTTTATCTGCTTCCATATTAGGATATCACATGGTATTTATTATAACACTCGCTTGTTTTAATATTTGTAGAATCCAAGTAATTTAATACACATCATTCACGATTTAATAAAATAATCGCCAACCCTTTTAATTTACTTTTGAAGGTTTACCTTGTCTAAAATTTTGACCGAATCCCATTACCATAAAGATATTTCGTAAGCGCATTCAAAAGTATCTCTGAAACTTTTACGTTTACGTAATTTTCAGTTTCAATATTTTTACATCTTGAAGAAAATCAATATGAAATATTTTGTACCGAACTTTTAAATTTTTATTTGACTATTCTTTTCTGACTTCCAAATAAGTTTAAAGCAATTTCTCTTTTGCACTTTTCTTTAGAAATGTCTGCATTGTTGCTTCTAGATTTGCCTTCTTTAGTAAATACTTTTTAGACCCTATCTACTATTGCATTTGAGTTACACCTGCAAAATAACAGTGAATTGTTTTACATTTCTTTAGTTTTGGGGTAGATTCTATTTGTTTTTGCAATTTTCCCATTTCAGTATTTTTATTTGATACTAACTATAGCTAAATTTTTAAATGCAAGACAGATATTTCCGAATTGCTTTTAAACCAGTGTATCTCATTATCATTGACATATCATGACCACAATGTTATCTAATTTATCTAGGATTAATCTGATACATTGATGGCTCTGTTAATAAGCACAAGTATATTGTAAGGAATTTGAGCAGGAAATAAACGTGCGTGATCCAGCAATGATAGCATAGACTCCCTAAAACAACAGAAAGAAGTGCCGTTGATTAACTTTAAAGAAATATACAAATAATATTGGAATTTCAGAACGACATATAAAGATATCCAGATAAAGATTGGATATCCTAACCTTAGAAATTATACTATGAAGACGCATTTAGATAATTTTCACTATCACCATCTTGTTTCCTGTTGTATCATGACAAAACTCATTTGGTTTGTAAAGCTTTTAGCTTCAATAAATAACCATAGGCAGATTATATACAGGGTGGGCCACCAGTAAGGCCTCGGTCGCTAGGGACCAAACGGCAAATGTTACAGAAACCTGTTCAGGGTATGTGTAAGTTGATAACAGCTACATTTTAAAAATATTTTGAAATATACAGGGTGTCCAGGAAAAGCGTACCATATCAAAGTTATGTATTTTTGAAAGCACCGTAAAAAAATAAGTGAACTTTATTAAAGGTTATGCATACCTAGGACTTACAGTTTGTGAGATATTTTCAATTTTAGTGAAAATGTAGGCATAGCGTAGAAATTTAATATTAGCAATAAAAATTGTCGTCACTTAGTATTATATAGGGTGTCCAAACAACTGCTGAATACTTCTCTCAACTTTAAACAGCAATAACTTGATTATTTTAAATGAGACACCCAGTATATTTTTACTTTGGGAGTTAGGAAATTTAAAACTCTTTCAAACTGTGTAAGGTTCCCTATACCTATGTCTAACGATATTGAAGATGTTTGTGCCGTTTCGTTTTTTATCGATTTTTTTTTTTTTTTGTAAGATGTATCCACGTGTCTTTATCGAGGTCTTTATTGAATTAGTTTGGGTTCTTCTTGATGACGTCTCTTTAAATATAAGAAGAAAATGTGAATGTAATTAGATGGCGCACCTGCACCTTTCTCATATTCAGTGAGAAATTATATAAATCAAAAATTTAGTAATAAATGAATAGGTGGGAATGGTCCATGTCAGTGGCTACCTAGGTGTCCCAACCTCCCGTAATGGACTTCTTTGTTTCGGTCTATACAGGGTGTCCGGTAAATACCTCCTAATCTCTCGGGAATGTATAGGGGAGGTCAAAATAAAACTAGTCCTTCCTACAATTTTTTTCCTAATGTGCCCCCTAACGGAGTTATGGGGGGTCAAAGGGGTACCTAGAAATTAACGTTTAGGGTTATAACTTTGAAACCACCCTGTATATTTTAATAACATTTTCGTACGTTGTATTACACATGGAGCTCTACGATTTGATGCTAAAATCAACTTTTTGCTATTATCAGGTGTCCAGAAACGGACTGGCCCTATCACAATTTT